GCCTTAGCCGGTTGAGCTATAGGCGCCAAGCCACAAGTGAATCTTTCTAAATGTAGAATATAAACGTCTTAACACAATAACTAAGAAAAGGACATAAAGGCTATGTTAACCAGGTTGATGAAAATATTTCAAATTGTCTATGAAAACACCACACTGTATCCCATGATTGCATTAATGTACACAGCTATCATTTAATAAAAAAAAAAAGACACCCAATGAAATGTCATTTTATGAAACATTGTAAATAATTCATGGAATTAATTTGTTTACTCATGTATTAAAAAAAAGATTTACTAAGTATCTACTATGTGACTGACCCTATTCTAGGTGTTAAGGATACAACAGGAAAAAAAAAAGACACAGTGGCTCATGCCTGTAAATCCTAGCACTTTGGGAGACTGAGGTGGGAAGATCACTTGGGGCTAGGGGTTTAAAACCAAGCTGAGCAAAAGTGAGACCCTCCCCATCTCTACAAAAAATAGAAAAATTAGCCTGCTGATACATGCCTGTAGTCCCAGCTACTCAGGAGGCTGAGGCAGGTGGATTACTTGAGACCAGGAATTTGAGTTGCAGTGAGCTATGATTACACCACTGCAACCTAACCAAGGTGACAGAGTAAGATTATGTGTCAAAAAAAAAAAATCCCTTGCTTTTATGGAACTTGTGTTCCATTGTGGATTCATGTTCAGTATAAAGGGTAGATGTTGTGATAAAATTGTGGCTAGGTATATCATCAGAAACCAGCCTATACCCCTGGATCAAGAACTTCTCCTGCTGTCCTGCTGGGATGTGCATGAAGCATGACACTGGTCTGAGGGACACAGCTCTGGGACAGTGGAATTCAATTCTCTATTTTTCTTAGAAGTGGAACACACTTCTGAGAAGGGGGTTACATGCCACACTGTTTAATTCTACAGGAGGACTGCAATAAGGGATGAATTATTATAGGGACAACTCAGCCTCTTTTCTTTTTAAAGGAACACATTTTATTTAGCAAAAGGAAAATCAGAATGACCCCCTGGATGTTATGGTATGCATGTGTGTATATAGTGAGAAATCATTTAAGAAATGTAAATACGAGCTGACAGGAAATCCCAGAAAAGTATAGCAGTTTTATTTGGTGCCATGTTCTAATTTGTATCTTGACATCCTCATACCCAAGTATTAGTATTAGGAGTTGGGCATATTAGGAGGTAGTATTGGGAGGTGACTAGGTTGGGAGGAGCCTCATGATTGGGCTGAGTGTCCTAATAAAAAGGGGCTCAAGAGAGACCCCTGCCCCCTTCTGCCACCTGAGGCTAGGGTAAGAAAATAGCAAGCTATGAGACACCAAATCTGCCATCACCTTGGGCTTCCCAGCCTCTAGAACTGTGAGAAATAAATTTCTATTGTTAATAAACCACCCAGTTTATGGTATTTTGTTTTAGCAGCCCATATGAATTAAAATAGCCAGGGAATTCCTTTCTGTTTAATCTTAACAAGTACTATTGCCAAACAGTTATACACCTGCTATAGAAGGTGAATTGCCATGCATCTAACTCCCTGGGTCTAAAGAGGCTGATTCTGCCTACATTTTTTTTTGAGGCAGGGTCTCACTCTGTTGGCCAGAATACAGTGCAGTGGCACTATCATAGCTCCCTGTAACTTCTGATTCTTAGACTCAAACAGTCCTCCCTCCTGAGCCTCTCAAGTAGCTAGAACTACAGGTGCATGCCACCATGCCTGGATCATCATCATCATCATCATCATCATCATCATTTGTAGAGACAGAGTCTTGCTATGTTGCCCAGGCTAATCTCAAACTCTTGGCCTTAAATGATCCTCCTGCCTCAGCCTCCCAAAGTGCTGGGATTATAGGTATGAGCCACTGTACCCAACCCCTGCTCACATTTTATCGTGGACTTAAATTCCCCATCTTAATTGAAGAGAGTAACACAAGTAGCAATTGGGTGGCAATAAATGTCAACAATTTTCAAGTAATAGCTCCATCAAAAGTCTTTTAACCTTAAAATATGCAGGGTAACCCGGTGTAGTGAACACTGTGCTATGCCCACAGATCCCCTCTTCAGGGCCAGTGTACCCATTCCCCAGCTGCTGAGGATTCACAGCTGTGACCCTCCCTTACCCTCAGCCACAAGGAGCTGCCTCACCAAAGGCTGTACCCTGGTCCACAGCAATGACCAGCTGAAGCAGGGACACAAAGGCAAACACTAAATGAAGTCTCAATGTTGTTACTCTGGGAATGAGGAGGAGAAGGATGATGTGGGGAATTGAGTTGGCACATTGCTGGCCTCAGTACAATCTGTATTGTTTAATTGCTTAAGAGGGAAAAAGATGTGCAACAAATATATGTTAAGATCTGGTAAGGCCTGATGTTAATACATCAACATTTTTAATATTATTTTCTATTGTTAACTGTATGTTTGAAATATTTCATAATAAGAAAGGACTGATTAAATTGAAATATGAGGGCTTAGTGGGCATATTTGTGCCTGTTGAATTCCTTTTTCTCTGTCTAGGCAGGGTACAGATGGGGAAGCCGTGTTTACTGAGTACCCCTATACGCTAGGCACGGTGCAAGGGGCCTTCCATACTTTGACATTTGATTTCACTTACAGATTAGGTGGAATTTTAGACTCTTTCAAGGATCTTTCTAAAGATTTCACATTGATACCAGGTTCCATTCACAGTCAGACATGGGAATAAATTTCAAACTTGTGGCCTTCTTACCACAACTTAAGCCTGTTTCTTCACTGTGGATTAGATCAAGCTGAAGCCTCTCTGAGAATTTAGGGAACGCCTTCCCAGCTTACCTGAGCTCCCTAGAATGCACATGATCTGCCCGCTCTCAACGTACAAGGACACGTCTTTGAGGATCTGCCTGTTCCTCTGCTCCCAGCCAGATTTGAGGTCCCACCAGGGCCCGGCGCGATTGCTTTAAAGGAAAGCCCCCCCGAGAAGGCAATGGCAGCATGTGGTCCAGGAAGAGCCAGACCCCTGTCACCCGGCTCTGATCCCAGCTGCACCCACCCCAGTTGGCTCTGGAAAGGCTCCTAGTATGTTCCAACCTTCATGCCCCCTTGTGCAGAGCCTGACCAGCAGGGGTGAAGGCCGTCAGTCATCTGCAGAGAGGACCTGGCTGCAGCTGCTCTGCAGGGTGCCAACCCTGCATTCCTTCCCCATCACCTTCCCAGCACCACCATTCCCCAAGCCCCTCCATTCACACGGGGTGGGTACCGGGAGGGTAAGAGGCAGGGGTGCAGGCTGGTCACTGCTGCCACATTGCTTATGCCTGGGCTGGGCCTGGCTGGAGGAGGGGTGTTCACTGTTCCTAATGTCCCAGGTGCTTCTCCTCTCCTTTCCCCATGCTGTCCACTGAAGAGCCCAAAGTCCCCAGGAAGGCTCCCCCAGTGAGTAGGAAAGGTGGCAGAGGGGGTGAGAGCTCCCCGCCTGCTGGTGGGGGCAGCTTACCTGACGCTGTAGGAGGCATGGAGGACACCCAGGCTGTGCCGAGCCTCCTCCGGGGAGCTCTGGGAGCCTCTGCTCTCTGGGAGTCCTAAGGATCCCCTGGGTGCCAGAGACTGGAGCTTACTCATGGCTAGCACGAAGCAGAGACCCACAACTTTCGTGGTGACGAGTCCCTTTCCAGAGTGGTTTCAGCTGAGGACCCTGTGGCAGACTGCCCTGCCTGCTCCTCTGTGGCCCCAGGCTCCCGGGTGAGACCAGCCTGGAGGCGGAACTGGGATTTGGCCCCAGATGCCGTTATCTGATGAACCTTTAACCTGAGTGTGTAGAATGCAGGCTGCGTGGGTGGGGCTGCCGCGGAGAAAAGGACAGGGCCTGGCATAGACGGGGTCCTTGGTGTCCCTGCTCTAGGAAGCAGAGAGAGGCAGGATTCGCAGGGGCAGGCAACAGCCAGGTCTAAAGGAGTGGCTGTCAACGGACACTGACCTGCCGCCCCATGGCTGAGACAACCGGTGGAGAGGACAGGGGGCTGCAGAACGGAGCCATGCCCCAAGATGCCTCTGTGAGTGACGGGGTTGCCCAGCCCTGGTGGGGGAGCAGTCAGGCCTTCGTCTCTTCTCGCAGGAACTTTCTGTCCCCCCTGGCGACCTAGACTGCAAGTACACGAGCAGGTGGTTGCAGGACTCAATCTCCTGGTGTCAGAGGCTGAGGGAGCAGGGTCAGGGCCTTTGCGGTCACTCCTACCCTAAGGAGTCCCTCCGGGACTCGATGTCCTTGTATGTAACCTGGGCTGATGTAGCTCTTTCCAAATGAAACTCCATCACAGAAACGTGCTTCTGCATAGCAGGGAGTCAGCTGGTGTCTCCTTTGTCTATGAGGCTGTCAGCTAAGAATCTGGTGACAGCAAAGTGATGACGAGACAGGACAATGGATGACTTTTATGGGGATGTCAGAATTTGTGCTCAGAATACAAGTGTAGCCAGGAATCACAGGCTCTAGGAGAGTGCTGGTGGGGGTAGATGGCAGCCGGGTGGCCAGAGGTGGTGAGCTCGGTCTCCTCCCTCGCTTTACCTGAGAAAAATTCGCTGGAGAAATCAGGGTGTGACTTCTAAGCTAAATTAGAAGACAGAAGTGAAGCAGATCCCCCCTCACCCCACATTTCTGTCTTGCCTGTCACGGGGTAGAGAAGAGAAAGACGAGGAAGACTGAGGACTCCCACATAACAGGGACTGCCACAGGCCACCCGGACTGGCCTTGAGATTCCAGGAGCTCATGATTTTCGGTCAGTTCTAAAGTCACTGCCAGTGACTGGCTCTGCTCCCCCAGCACCCCCAAGAGGCAAACCCTGCAGGGAAATTCCTATAACCTGGATAGGACAGAAAGTCTAGGGAATTTGGGAATACTTGTGCCTGGAAGAGCTGGTGTTTCAGCCCCCACAGCTCCCTGGGAGGGGCAAAGAACTGCCAGAGCCTCACACCCTGACACAGGTGCGGGCCCTGCCACCACCAGTTCTCCTCCCGAATCCTCTTACCCAGGTGCTCAGGAATGGTCTGTCCCTAACGGCTATGAGGCTTGAATGGAATGACTGGGGCGGCGTAACCTGTCTAGTATTTTAAAGGTATCAATCAAGCTGCAAACTGTTGAACAAAATAGTTTTACCCTCTTACTCTGACATTCCTTCCTCCCAACCTGGAAGGCCAGTAATGAATTTAGAAATTCTAGGGCCTCTTAGAATAGCAGCCAAAATGTGATGGCACAGGGATCCACTTCCAGCCCAAGCCTGTCCCCATCCCTGCCCACTCCTGTCTCTGTCCCACTCACTATACAGGGATCTCACGAACCTGTGTGGGTGCATGAACCCGAGGGGCACTTCTGGCCTAGGGGCACTCAAGAGGCCTGGGAAGGGTGTGCAGGCTGTAGGGGTGATCTTAGGGACCATTTGCACAGGAAACTCTGGCCTCTTGGTAACTGGGTGACAAGTGCCCTGGGCCCACAACGCTTCACTGTGCAGGAAGAGCAGGACCACAGGAAACTGGGAGAGTCCTCGGCCCAGGTGAGAGCTGTGTGAGATCTCGTCTGAGTATTTCAGTAGGCCCAGGAGCAAGCCCTCTCCCCAGCCCTGGGTCCTGAGCATCACACCATCTCCGGGCTCCTCATCTCAGAACAGGACACTGCTCTGTGCTCCCGGAGTCTCCTTCTTTCCTACTCTTCTGACTGTGGAATTCGATCAGAAGTTAATACAAGGAGAAATTACAGTGTAACCCAGCAGGCGCTGAGCTGGTTACCTACAAATAAACCTGCTTTTGCTTTTTTGGGTGTCACCTGTCAGAAATTCAAGTGACGTTCTGACAGTCATACTGATTAAGATGTCAGCCGAATAGATATTTAAATATTTGAAAAATGCAGAGAATTTGTCAAAACCTCAGGAAGAGTCTAACAAACCCTTCCTGGGAGCCAAGGAAAATATTTAAAAATGGAACAGAAGTTGTCTCCATTTCAGGCATGAATTTTCTTCTTCCAGAAGAAGAGCTGTCTGTGCAGCTCCTGGAAGGCACAGTCCCTCCAGGGTGGTTGAGGTCTGGGCTGGCACACCCCTGCCTCCCTAGCCTAGGGAAGAGCCTGGGTGAGCCTCAGAGCAGGGAGCCAGGCACCTCGCTCCTTCCTCTCAGCTGCCTTCCGTCCCACTGCCTCTGTCCCACAGGCCTCAGCACAATGGACTACTTGGGCTTGAGGTCACCTCTACACGTTGCCCCAGATTCCAAATGTCTGACCTTCCTTTCTCACCTCTCCACCCCTGAATCCAACCTGTGCACCTTGTGGCCTACAGAAGCAATTTCTAAGCTCATTTATATCTGATGCCAATTATATTATGTCATTTATATCTTATGCCAATATCTGATGCCTCCTGCAGATATTTTCTTTAAAAAGTATAATGATGACAACGGGATGTGTGCTGGCCCCAAGGAGTCTCTCAGCAATTTGATACAATTTCTGGTAGTTTAATAGAATCACACAAAACTAGGCAGCGTGTCTGTGGTCACAGAGGTGACCTGCCAGAGGCCAGCAGCTACCTGAGCTGCCTTCATCTCTCTAGGGTGTCATTCTTCACCCCAAAGGGTGCAAACCCTCTCACCGCCCCTCCCCACCTCTCCCTCCTGCTTTGGTGCATTGCCAGCTGGAAGTGGATGAAACGTTGGTGGGAACTTGAGTTCACTGGCTTGCTTTCTCAATTTGAAAACATATTGTGAAATTTTTCAGACAGATCAATTTAAAGAGTGGTGATCTCCCATGTACTTGCACTGATTGCCAAAAGCTGAAGCCTTACCCCGGTCCCCCCTCCGTGTCCCCTTTCCCCTTATATGTCTCTTGTTCCCCAGAGATAAGCCCTCTCCTGAAGTAGGTGTTTATCTTCCTCGTGTTTTTCCTATAGAATTTTGGGTTTTTACGGTGACGATTCAAACATCAAACAGTATAAGTAGCTTGGGTCTGCTGTTTGTCCTTCTCTCTCAGAACTCAGGGGGCTACCAGAGTGGGCCGCCAGCAGACTGTCACCTGTATTTCTTTCTTTCCACCTCTTCTGGTCTGGAATGTTCTTTCCTAGGACTTCTTACCTTCACCATTGCCTTACCTTCACAATAGCCGGAAGTTATTGTCTGGTTAGCTGTAAATCATGCTGTTTTCCACTCTGGAATGCGTGTGCATTGTGAAAACAGTGAAAATAAACCTTTGATCAGATGCTTGAGGTCAGCCTGCTCATGTGCCTGGTCACCTGGCTCCGTCCTAACCACCTGTCTCACCTGTCAAAGACATTCTCACCATCACATTCCAAACTCTCAGCCTGAATGAAGAGTATTATGGACTCGCAGTAAATGTTTGTTGTGTGTCTGATTGATTGAAGGGATGCAGCAGCATGAGAATGGCAGCTCTGGGGGAGAGGTCTGCAGGAACTTGTTAATAAATACATACTTGTTACTGCACTATGGGAATGAAAGAAAATTGAACGCATTAAAAACTGGAAACCTTCCTAGTCAGGTTCTTCCTTTGTTTGGGCCTTCATGATTTAAATGATTGAATTGTTCAAATAGAAGGAATTCAGGGCGGGTGCAGCCGCTTGCCTGTAATCTCAGCACTCTGGGAGACTGAGGCAGGTGGATCTCTTGAGCTCAGGAGTTTGAGATCAGCCTGAGCAAGAGTGAGCCTCCCGCCCCCGTCTCTAAAAATAGCCAGGCATTGTGAGGTGAGGGTGCCTGTAGTTCCAGCAACTCAGGAGGCTGAGGCAAGAGAATCACTTGAGCCCAAGAGTTTGAAGTTGCTGTGAACTATGATGCCATGGCACTCTACCAAGGGCGACAAAGTGAGACTTTGTCTCAAAAAAAAAAAAAGAAGGAATTCAGCTCTTCAGATCTGTAGATGGTTAATACCATTCATAAGTATCAGTTGACACCATGAAACATTGATTTGTTTGATGTACTTTCAAATATACCAACACTGAACACCAATGACATCATGACAGTGGTGGTGATGCCATTGCAGGGACTTCTGAAATTTCCCTTCCTTCATTCCTTCCTTCCTCCCTGCCTCCTGCCCTCCTTCCCTCTTTCTCTCCCGCCTTCCCTCCTTTCCTTCCTTCTGTCCTTCCCTCTTTATTTTTTTCTTTCTTTCTTTCTCTGTTAGCCTGGCTAGAGTGCAATGGCATCATCACAGCTCACTGTAATCAAAACTCCTAAGCCCAAGGGATTTTCCTGCCTTGGCCTCCCAGAGTGCTAGGATTACAGGCATGAGCCACCACGCCTGGCTTCAACAGCATTCTCAATGACTTTGTTGCACAAAATTCCTTGACTTCTCAGGATGGTGTCTTCACAAGTATTAAGCATTAACTTGACCTTGACCTTAGCTATTTTGCTCTCATGTGCTGCATATTGTGATATCTATCTGGCATTAGAAATTGTTAAGCCAAATTCAAGGAAGAGAAAGTTAAAGGCCGAGGGTTTGCCAGCTCCTAGCTCAGATTTTCCAGAGCACCAAACCTCACAGATCTCTCTCCAGCCCAAAGTCTGGATCTCATTTTCCGTCAGCTGCATGGGTTCAGGCTCTACCAGACTGAGGTTTAGGTTCTCAGGACAGGAGCCGTCCTGGGAGAATTCCCAGGGCTCTCCCTAAAGGAGATGGGCCTTCACCAATGTTTGTATTTTCTCCAAGTCTTGGGCTCCACCAGCACAACTCGTCTCTTACCAATCTGCGATCTCAGGCACATCAGCCGTAAGAAGCTGCTCTTACCCCTCCGTCCCTCCCCCTGTCTTCTCCTTGTCTTCAGTCACCTCCAAAGGGGAGCCCCTCACCTGTCTTGTCTCCCAGCAGGGCCTCCAGGACAGCTTGTTCTCCTCTGAAAGTGACAACAGCCTGTATTTCACCTACAGTGGCCCTCCCAACACCCTGGAGGTCCAGGACCTCAGCTACCAGGTAGAGGCATTCCTGGGATCAAGGGGAGAGGAGTGGGCAGGGAGGGAAAGATGAGCCCACCCTGCAAATCCTCCACCCGCAGACACAGCCCAGTCCGGCTGAACCTCACATGTCAGGTGCCGCATGTGCCGTCTATGACACTTGCTATAGCTGGAGGCTGAGAGGCAGGAGAAAAGAAGGAGATCCATGTGGAAACTGGATCCATAAGGAAGACTGTGGAGTCTGTAACAGAAGGCCTCGAGATCACTTTTTAACTTCATATTTTGAAATACTTTTACATTTTTGGAAAAGTTGCAAAAATAGTCCAGCATTCTCATATATCCTTTGTCCAACTTTCCGTAATGTTAACTCCTTGCGCCCCCATAGCATAATTATCAAAACTAAGGAATTCACAATGTACAATGCTAATAACTAAAGTCTTACATACCCTTATAATAATTATCAAGCTAAGACATTAACAATGTACAACACAGACTTTATTCAGGCTTCATTCATTTTTATATCTTTTTCACAAATAAAATAAACTCTCTCTGGAGCTAATAAAACATCCAGAGTGCAGGGACAACCACCGGCATTTGGAGGCTCTCGGGAATTCCCTGGTCAGATTCAAGGACCTACTCCCAAACCTCCTCCGAGGCAGGTAACATGTTGCTCAGATGGAACTTGGTGGGGCCCGAGATGGTGACTCCCAGAGGCCCGAGTGTGCTTCCTGGGTGTGTGAGTTAAGACAAGCCAACGAACCACACCATAACCTTTCTTGGCTCTGCCACTTACTAGCTATGTAAACTTGAGTGAGTTACTTAACTTCTCTGAACCTCCCTGTAAGACAGGGATTCTAAAAGTACCTACGGTATAGGTTTACAGTGCTGATGGAATGAGATAGCAGATGCGAGGCAGTTAACATTGGGTCTTGCACGTAGTAAACACTTGATACATTAGTAGTAGTAGTAAGTGAAGACATGTTGCTTCATGTTGTATTTTTATTTCTGCTCTGCAATTGCTCATGTTTTCTATTCCCCTTATCTTCAGACTCGGGAACAACACTTTGAGTTGTTAACATAGGTTGGGGGCCGGCCTCTGTGTTTGGTAGAATTCGGGTAGGGGTGCCTCGGGCCTGTTGCGTATTAGCAGAGGGATGTTCCCTGCAGAAAGGGGCCCATCCAAGGCACAGGGGTTGAACAGAAGTGGCTGAAACCCTCTGAGCCATTCAGCTCTCTAGGAAACTTTCCAATGTCACCCCACAGGTGGACGTGGCCACCCAGATGTCTTGGTTTGAGCGGCTGGTTCAGTTCAAGATGCCATGGACATCTCACAACAGCCAAGATTCCTGTGACCTGGGCATCCAAAACCTGAACTTGAAAGTGAGAAGTGGGCAGATGCTGGCCATCATAGGAAACTCAGGTACCATTTAAGGCTGGATTTTCTCTCTCCTGAGGGATGCAGAATGGTCTTTCAAACAGACAAATGCTTCTTATGGAACTCTTTGCTGACTAGTAGAATAACATGGGACATGGTTAAGAGCAGACGTTCTGGGTCACACAGACTTGGGCTCAAATCCTGGCTCCTCTGTTTTTGAGCTCGTAGATAGTTGCTGTTGTGAGGAGCCATGAGTGCACCTCTTGTCGACCTGAAGCTGCAGCCTGAGCAGCTGTCTTTGGTTAACAGCTGCACTGAAAGATCGTGGTCAGACAGCCCCCACACAAGCAGCTATGGTCAGACAGCCCCCACTACGATCTCATAGGGTCCCTCCAGAATCTTAGCACAACCTTTAACTATTTGCAAAGAGCCAGATTCTTGGACTGCCTCACAGAGTCCCTTCCACAGGACAAATTTGAAATTATAGAACATCTGAGCTGAAAAGGGGCTTGGAGAACAGAGTTCATTCTCCTCATCGTGTTCTGCCTTTCTTTCTCCTACCAGTTTGGAAGTGTTTTTAGAGGAAGGTTTTCAAATTATCTACTCTTCGGTATTTCTAGAATGTCCTCCTGCCCCTACACACATACACACACACACACACTCCCCTACATTAAACAGGTAGGAGACTCAAGCCTGGGGAAGTTGAGTGATTCTCTTAAAAATACACTTTTAATGCAGAGCCAGAACCAGAACTTTGGCCTTCTGCTTCTCACATCAAGGCATTTCTCCCTGGAATGCCCTTACATAGTCTTAGAGCACTTTATACCTTTTAATTAATTATTTCCAGAGATAGCAATTACTCAACTTCTTGGACACCTGCTCCAAGCTTTTACATTCTTCTGATAGAAAAGCTATTTATTGTCTAACCAAAGATCAAATGAGATCCTGTGTGTAAGTGCTCTTTGTCACTGTACCAACATGTAGTCAATAAGTCCTTCCCACTTTGGCCCTGTCCCTGAAATCTTGATCTAAAGAAGAAAAGAGTGGATCCCTCAAGGACCTACTATTTTATTTTTATTTGTAATTTCTAGTAGCTCTTCTTGTTATACCTAACTTTTCTTTCTGAATTGAGCATCTAGGAGACACATGGGCCCTACTTAGCATCACTATGATTAATACTCGGTACAGACAACCCTCTAACTCTTAGTAGCCCTGATTTGTGATTGAGGAAAGTGAAGTTCAGAGAGGCTGAGCAGGAATTATATTAAATAGTTTCTAGGTCTTTTGACTCTAGGTTCAGGGTTGTTTGGCTCCAGGTTCACTTCACTATGTTAAAAGAAATACTTTAGATTTGGCACCTGTAGCTCAGTGGCTAGGGTGCCAGCTGCATACACTGGAGCTGGAGGGTTCGAATCCAGCCCGGGCCTGCCAAACAACAATGACAACTACAACCAAAAAAAATAGCCAGGTGCTGTGGCAGACATCTGTAGTCCCAGCTACTTGGGAGGCTGAGGCAAGAGAATTGCTTGAGCCCAAGGGTTTGAAGTTGCTGTAAACTGTGACGCCATGGCACTCTACCCAGGGCAACATAGACTCTGTCTCAGAAAAAAAAGAAGAAGAAGAAAAGAAATACTTTAGACAATTACAATTGAGCAAAGTTTATTTGAGCAAACAATGATCCTTGCATAGGCAGCATTCAGGGCCAAGAAAGGCTCAGAGAGCGCCACCCAGCAATGTGGGAAAGCAATATTTATAGACAGAAAAAGGACATACAGAAACAGCTTGACTGGTTATAACTCAGAGTAACCAGTATTTGGGCATCATCTGACAAGGCCATTGATCTGACCAGTTGACAGCTTGTGATTGTCTGAAGTTTGGCTATCAAGAATGGCTGAGCCTCAGCAATTTGTCTCAGCCAACCTCTATCTTAAGCTAAACTCATGGTTAGGTTACAGCTTGTTTACGTACTAACACTGCAGTTCCCTCCATAGGAACTCCAAATATGGAAGCAATCTCAAGCCAAATTTAATTTAACAGCTAACGTTATTATTTTTCCTTTTTTCAAGAAAGTTTATTTCAGTACATTATGAGGGTACCTACATTTTGGTTACATATTTTGCTTTTGTGAATTTTAAGTCAAAGTTACAGGTGTGCCCTTCACTCAGAAAGTGTGTGATACCCTCCCCCTTCTTCCCCTTCTCCCTACTAGAATTTCACTGAGTTTTGTTTCCTGTAAGCACGTAGGTGTTGATCAACTAGTTTCAATTTAGTATGGAGTACGTGTGGTGTCTGTTTTTCCATTCTTGCAATACTTCACTTAGAAGAATGGTCTCCAATTCCACCCAGGTTGTTACAAAAGATACTAGATCATCATCTCCTTTATGGCTGAGCAGTCCTCCATGGGATACAGAGATCATATTTTATTAATCTATTCAGGTATCGATGGGCATGTGGGTTGTTTCCACATCCTTGTGCTCCTATGAACATTCAAGTTCAAGCATCTTTATTATAGCACGTCTTTTTTTCCTTTGGGTAAATACCCTAAATAGTTAGGTAAATACCTAAGTAGAAGAATTATAGGATCAAATGGCACATGAAATTATTTAAATGATTTCTCTCTCTTTTTTTTTAGTTAGAGTCTCACTTTGTTATGCTCGGTAGAATGCTATGGCATCACAGCTCACAACAACCTCAGACTCCTGAACTCAAGTGATTCTCTTGCTTCAGCCTCCCGAGTAGCTGGGATTACAGGCACCCTCCACAATGCATGGCTACTTTTAGAGTCAGGGTCTCACTCTAGCTCAGGCTGGTCTCGAACTCATGAGCTCAGGTGATCTGCCTGCCTCGGCCTCCCAGAGTGCTGGATTATAGGCATGAGCCACTTTGTCCAGCCTGATTCATTCATTCATTCCTCCCTCCCTCCCTTCTTTCCTTTTAAAAGTGTCTCACTCTGTCATCCATGCTAGAGTGCTGTGGGGTCAGCTTAGCTCATAGCAACCTCAAACTTCTGGCTTTAAGTGATCCTCAGCTTCCCAAGTAGCTGGGACTACAGGCATCCTCCATGATACCCAGTTAATTTTTCTATTTTTAGAAGAGACAAAAGGCTCCTGTAGCTCAAGTGGCTAAGACGCCAGCCACATACACCAGAGCTGGCGGGTTCAAATCCAGCCCAGGCTCACCAAACAACAATGACAACTACAACCAAAAAATAGTGGGGCGTTGTGGCGGGTGCCTGTAATCCCAGCTACTTGGGAGGTGAGGCAAGAGAACCGCTTGAGCCCAAGAGGTTGAGGTTGCTATGAGCTGGGACGCCACGGCACTCTACCCAGGGCTACAGCTTGAGACTCTGTTTCAGAAAAATAAAGAAGAGACAGGGGTCTCACTCTTGAACAGACTGGTTTCAAATTAAGTGCTCCAGGGATCCTTCCACAGTGCTAGAATTATAGGTGTGAGCCACTGTGCCTGTATGAAATTATAAAAATGATTTCTTAGATTTATCAATTATACTTCCTGTGACTTTTGCTGTGCACACACACCCTGAGAATGCTGGTCATAATTTTAAAAATATAAATAAAAGCAGCCCCAAGTATTGTAGTTTCTTCTACAGAATCAGCAATGCCAAAAGTGTTTTTTAATTAATGAATTTACTGATTCCAGCCATTTTACAAGGGTCCAGAATGCCTATGGATTTTCTTCCTGGTTCATAGAGGGTCTGCCTCATGGACCCAGCCTCCTCTATTGGAAAGGCTGCTCACAGCTCTATGTTTTGCTAAGGAACTGCAGCCTTCCTGCTCTCCAAGTGGGACTCTTGCAGCACCTGTGAATGCTGGCCAAGTCCCCTGCACTCCCAGAGCCTGCATGGAAGCCCTCTTCCCTGGTTTCTCTGCCGGCTAATTTGCTCCACTTCCATACTAAAGATGCTTAACTGAAGTGTGCCCAGGAGGCAGCGTGAAGGCTCCTTTCTCCCTGACAGTCTCTGGGCAGGAACCAGAAGTATCACATGAGGCTGTTTTTCTGCTTTCGGTTTTTGTGCTGGTGCTGTGAGGCTGCAGGTACGTGGCATGTGGCAAAGAGGACTTGTCATGCGTTGTTTATCGGCACTTTCCTTGTTTGAAAACAAATTGGAAAACTTGCTCTCCACAAGGAATATCTAGTCAGGAAACCAAACCCCACCCAGGGGAATGAGCTCATTCCCAGCTCAATGATAGGGTGATGTTCTCAGTGCTTGAGCCCAATTTGCACTCAGTTTTTTATTTTATTTTATTTTATTTTTTATTTTTTTGAGAGTCTAGCTCTGTTGCCCAGGCTAGAGTGCAGTGGCATCATCATAGTTCACTGAAACCTTAAGCTCCTGGGCTCAAGCAATCGTCCTGCCTCAGCCTCCTAAGTAGCTGGGACTACAGACACCCACCACCACGCCCAGCTAGTTTTTCTATTTTTAGTAGAAACGGGGTCTCCCTCTTGCTCAGGCTAGCATTCACAGTTTTTTTTTTTTTTTTAAGCATTCACAGTTTTAAATAGCTATCGAAAAAAGGCTCATGGAATGCTTTTGGAAATTAGATCTTATTTGATGCTGACTTCCCTGAATCAATGATGGGTACGTCATTCAGAAGTAGATGGTGGTAACTTGAACACAATGGATCTTTTCTTTCAAGAGAGTTAAAAAATACCACTGATTAAAAATAAGAGAGGGAAGCATGTAGATATAGTCAGAACATTTGTGTGCGTTGTGCTATAGTTTAAAAATCATTTCCACACTGTTATTTCTCTATTTTTCTCCCTTATTTCTCAAAATAAGTTCTGGTTTTGCATTTTTAAAAAATACCCTATAAATACTCTGACTTAGTCCTCACAGAGCCAGCTTCTGAGCCAAATGACATTGAATAATGAAATGTTGCTGGCGTGTTTGCCAGCCAAAAATAGTTAACACTAGCCTTGCTTGGAGAGAAATGGCATTGATTAGTGGTGAGAGGGACAAATGCTCTAAGTACCACAGGCCTGTGGCAGCCAGGACCCCCACCCTCTCTGGTTGTGCAGCTATTGACTAACCTGGCCTGAAGCCCCAGCATCAATGTGCTCCCAGACACCCAAGGATGCTCAAGCTGGCTGCAGAGTGCCATGAGCTGGGTCTGCCCCATCTAGTCTAGGAGCTGGGCCACCTCTCTAGGGGCTAGTCATCTCTGCAACGACAGAACAGTCCAGCGTGCAGAAGAGTGTGCAGGGAGCAGTGGCTGCTAGCCTGACCGCACAGAAGCTCTGCTCTCAGGGATGTCCCTGATGGCTTCACAGGCTGTGGGAGAGCCTCACTGCTGGACGTGATCACCAACCGAGGCCACGGTGGCAAGATCAAATCAGGCCAGATCTGGATCAATGGGCAGCCCAGCACACCTCAGCTGGTGAGGAAATGTGTGGCCCACGTGCGCCAGCATGACCAGCTGCTCCCCAATCTGACAGTCCGAGAGACCCTGACCTTCACTGCCCAGATGCGCCTGCCTAGATCCTTCTCCCTGGCTCAGCGTGACAAAAGGGTAAGCCCCATCCCTCCCTGCCCTGCCTCAGGGCCCAGGCATAGGAAGCAACCCAGCTCATCGTCCACTCCCCGAACAAGTCCACTAGGGGCTCCCCCTGTCCTCAGCCCGGTGAGGTCCTTTCCTTTAAAATGAAACCAGTGGAGCAAGAGTTTTGACATGTTGGGTCACATGTCCAGCCCCAAGGGAAGCCCTCAGAGGTAGCCTCAGAGCTGCCCTCTCCCCACAGGTGGAGGATGTGATCGCGGAGCTGCGGCTGCGACAGTGTGCGGACACACCCGTGGGCAATGTGTACCTGCGGGGAGTGTCGGGGGGCGAGCGGAGGAGAGTCAGCATCGGGGTACAGCTCCTGTGGAATCCAGGTGAGGGGTGTGGGGGCCAGACGGGGGCAGTGGGGCCTGCATCCCCGGCTCAGGCGTGGCTTGGTCCAGCCAGAGTCCTGCTAACTCTGTAGGCCCCTCTCTTTTGGGAAGGAATCCTGATTCTGGATGAACCCACCTCTGGGCTCGACAGCTTCACAGCCCACAACCTGGTGAAGACCTTGTCGCGGCTGGCCAAGGGCAACAGGCTGGTGCTCCTCTCCCTGCACCAGCCCCGGTCAGACATCTTCAGGCTGTTTGACTTGGTCCTGCTCATGACGTCTGGCACCACCGTCTACCTGGGGGCAGCCCAGCACATGGTCGAGTATTTCACCACCATTGGCTACCCCTGTCCTCGGTACAGCAACCCCGCTGACTTCTATGGTGAGCCAGCAAGGCTAGTGGCCAGGAACCTATGCCCCAGACACCACCAGAGCCTGCTAGAAAGATTCAGAAGAAAATCTGTTGGGGGCTTCAGAAAAGAAAAAAGGGGGGGGTGCTTCTGGGCAGAGCAGAGTAGACGACATGGGTCAGCGTGCTGAGTATCAGATGCTGGAAATGAGGATGTGAACAAAGCAGCCGCTGACAGAGAGCCACCCTTCTGTGCATGACAGATTAGAAACTCCCGGGAGCTCAGTGACAGGAGGGACAGAATCCCGGGGGCCTGGGTTAAATTCTCAACTATGGCCTTTATTCAAACTCTGCAGAGAAACATAGGCTCTTTAAGGTCAGAAAGTCACCAGGAAATCTTAAGACTGTGCCCTGGTGATCCCACAGAGGCAGGGAGCCTGAAGGTGCAGATGGCAGGGAGGGGCAGGGCACGGGCTGGCTCAGGTCCTTTTCAGTGGTCTCGGCCAATGAATCTCTGAACAGGATACTTGCTCTGGCAGCCCTAGACGTGGCTTCTGAGTGGGTCCTGAGGTCTCAGCATGTTACGCTCAGGAGAGCAGGAGCCACTTTCCTTCATGGGGTGATGGGGGGTACTTGCCTTCCCAGGTATCTGCCCTGAAAGCAGGAAGCTGGATTTTGAGTGTCAGGACGGGTATGGCTGTTGGACAGGCAGGACTGTTGTATCGGGGTGAAGTGGCTACATGACTTGTCCCTTGAGTCACCAGGAGCCTCAGGTTCCTCCTGGGATGGCAAGGGCAGCAAGAGCCTGTAAATATAGTGACAGGGACCATCTCCTTGAAGGCACATGCTGGGTCCAAAAGTGCCAGGATCCCGAGGGTCTCCTGTTTGACTCTCACATTCCTGCCAGGCCAAGGGTGTCTCCGTCTTTATAGAGGGAAAGACCAGAGTCCAAAGAGTGTGAGGCACAGAACTGGGCTCGGTGTCCAGTCCCCACCCCTGACTCCTGGGTCAGCAGCCCCTCCTGACTCCTGGCATCCTAAATCATCTTCTACCCTGCCCCCAGGGGATTGGCTGCCCCTTGCCCTGTGTATTCAGACTTGGCATGAACTCATGCAGGGGTCATTGCCCTCACTGTGCTCAGGTGTCAGACTGGCCTCCTACCAGTGTGTCGTCCTCAGGCCAGCCACCCCTGAATAGGGGCAAAGGGCACCTGCCAGCCTGGCCACTAGGGAACAATCTGAAGTAACCCCGGAGAGGGGTTACTAGAGGTCAAATGCATGTAGGCCTGAAAACTCCTTTCCTTTATTTTATATTAATATTCAAGGTGGCAGTGCTCTTGCCTATGGGCCCTGGTTCAGGAACCTCTCACCAATCTAGGGTGCAGGAACTATATGGGGCTTTGAAGTACCCAGAAAATTAGGTGTTTTAAGCTATAGTCCTGCACACTAGGGAGATACCTCAGGATTAATCAGACCCACCCAGACAAGATCCTGTCTTGAGATGTGTTGTGAAATGGAAGAGGGAAGAGGAAGAGAGGTGAAGAAGTAACCCCCAAGCAAACCAAGCCTCTGAGGAGGGAGTGGAGGGCCGGTGGGCAGCCGTGGGCCTGGAGTGAGGTGAGTGGAGGGAGGCCCTGGCTGTGGCTAGCTGGGGTCCGCCTTTTCTGGACCCACCCTGCCAGGGCCTTGGAGGTTGAGGCAGAAGCTAGGAGAGGAGGGCTGTGATGTGGGGCTGCCAGGTGCTCCCCCACAGGGCAGTGTTCCCCCAGATTGAGGAGGAGGGTGCCGGTCAGCTTTGTTCTCCAGCTCCCTCCCTGGGGCAGAGCAGCTGTCCAAGGGGCAGTGAGAATTCCACTTAGAGTTGGCTGATCCCTGGAACCCTCCACCCAAACATTCTCCTGTTTGGGCTGCTTTGGGCAGGCTGCTTATGGGGCCAAATTATTAATTTACAATGAGATAGAACTAGCAGGTGCCTGACTCTCAGGCTCGCTTGACCAGGCCACCTATTCCCCACGGGCAGACACCCCTGGAAGGTGAGTCCTCATTAAAAGCTTCCTGGACAGCTGGAGTGAAAGTCAGGGCACACCCGCAACGCGGCCTTGGCTCTGAAGGCTGCTGGTCTGTCCTGGGATGTTCCCAAAATGAGCCTAAGTGGTGGGACAGGGCTCAAGGTGTCTGCAGGTGTCTGCTTCCTGACAGATGTGGTCAGGGTGGGGGATCGCTGCCAGGATTCTCTGCGTCTCTTTACTCCGACCACTGCTTCATGGGTCACCCTCAGAGGGTGGGCAGTATGTCCTGAAGCCCCTTGGGGACTGACCAATGTTGTGGGCTTGGTGTCAGGGACCAGCTGCCCATGGCCCCGCATCCTCTGCTTACAGTGGACTTGACCAGCATCGACAGGCGCAGCAGAGAGCAGGAAGCGGCCACCAGGGAGAAGGCTCAGTCACTTGCAGCCTTGTTTTTAGAAAAAACACACGGCTCAAATGACTTTCTGGGGAAGGCAGAGGTGAGGGAACTCGACGTGGGCCCTTGTGCAAAGAGGTAAGGTAAGGGGGGCCTGGGGCTGTGCGAAGGATGCTGCCTGCAAGAGGTAGCCACACTCTTGACAGAGGCTCATCCTCTCCCTCCAGCAGCCTGGCCCTTCCGCTGGACACCAAGATCCTCCGAGCGCCCGCTAAGCTTCCTGGGGCTGTGCAGCAGTTTACCACTCTGATCTGGTACCTGTCCGTCATTTCATTTCTCCCCCCCCCCAAAGTCTTTGTATATCCCTTTCTATGTAAAGTCAATTTGAGCAAAGAAGAAAAAGGTAGAGTCATTTGAAAAAACAGCATCCTAGGGACCAGCCCAGTGAGCACACCAAACACTACTGTTACTTTTCTTTTATTCTTTTTTTTGTTTGTTTCACTTAAGACAAAAATCTCACTCTGTTGTCCCAGGCTAGAATGCGATGGAGCCCTGTTGTCAGCCTGGCTCACAGCGATCTTGAACTCCAGGTTCCAGCTATCCTCCTGCCTCAGCCTCCCAAGTAGCTAGGATTACAGGTGTCTGCCACAAAGCCTGACTGATTTTTTCTCTTTTTAGTAGAGACAGGGCCTTACTCCTGCTCAGACTGGCCTCAAACTCCTGAGCTCAAGCAGTCCTCCCATTTCAGCCTCCCAGAGTGCTAGGATTACAGGCAGGAGCCTCCATACCTGGCCACTTTTTTTTTTTTTGAGACAGAGTCTTATCACGTCACCCTGGGTAGAGTGTCGTGGCGTCACAGCTCACAGCAACCTCCAACTCTTGGGCTTAAGCGATTCTCTGCCTCAACCTCCCAAGTAGCTGAGACTACAGGCGCCCACCACAATGCCCAGCTATTTTTTTGTTGTAGTTGTCACTGTTGTTTGGCAGGCCTGGGCTGAGTGCAAACCCACCAGCCTCTGTGTATGTGGCTGGTGCTCTGGCCACTGTGCGCCAAGGCGCCAAGCCCCAGCCACTTTTACTTTATTCTTTAAGCAAAATTAAAATATCCTTACTGCCTGGCTGACCATAGAAATAGCATAGGGTCATCTTGAAAAATCCAGACATTATAGGAGAATCTCAAGTGGAAAGGGAAAGCCTTGGTCACACCAGTTCTCAAAGACAACCAGACCCAGCTGGTTGGTGTGTGTCTTTCTAGGTGTTTCCATGCACGTAAACATTTCAACACCGAGTGGATCACACTCTGTCTCCCCTTCTGTAACTGGCTTCCTGTCAGGATAGTGCCTCCACTTTTTGTCTGGTGGATCTTCCTCAGATGACAAACCATGATCCACTCACCCACCAAATCCACATCGATGGTCAGATCATTTTCAGGCTTTTGCTGTTATGAATACTGCTACAGCAAGCCCCTATGTCTGTGCATCTTTATGGACTTAATTGATTTTTTTTTTTTCAGAATAATTTCTTTAAGTAAAATTGCCAGGCTGGGCGTGGTGGCTCAGGCCTGTAATCCTAGCATTTTGGTAGGCCAAGACAGGTGGATTGCTTAAGTTCAGGAGTTTAAGACCAGCCTGAGCAGGAATGAGAGACACATTGTCTCTACTAAAAACAAACCAGTTGGCTCAGTGCCTGTGGCTCAAGTAGCTAAGGTGCCAGCCACATACACCTAAGGTGGCGGGTTCAAATCCAGCCCAGGCCTGCCAAACAACGACAGCTGCAACCAAAAAA